TTTTGAAAGCATATTGTGTATTTTCCAAAATTCACCCCAATGCACAAGAAAGGGGGAGAAGCCTGAGAGAGAGGTTGAGAGAGAAAGAGATCTTTTGTTTTCCAACAATCACCCATACCATCATTCCCTAGCACAAAAATTTTCACTTTTTGAAATATACTTTTTACTTTTAAAAATATACAAATCATTTTTCAAAATTTGAACAATTTACTTTTCAGCTTTCCACACAATACTTTTCCAACATACACTTTCACCTTTAAAATATACAATCTCCACTTCCCACTTTTCACACACCTCAAGTTCCACTTTTTAACACACACATTTTAACATTTATCTACATCCAAATCTTTCAAAAATCTACACACTTTCCAATACACACTTTCCTGAAACAAATACTTTACTTTTCCACAACTACACATGTCACCTTCCAATGAAACACACAAATCTCCTTTCAAAGCACACATATATCACATCTTAATCTACACACAAATAAATACTTTTCACTAAAACATAAAATTTTCACTTTTCAAAATACACACACACTTCTCAAATTGTCACGAAGTCTTACACTTCATCACACCTTCACTTTTCAACTTAAACTTATTTCACTTTTCAAGTCAAACACAAATCACTTGTTAACACATTTTTTTTACCAAACATTTGCTTCTTTTCATGAATGCATGACAATATTCGATCACCTCTCTTTCCAAAACACAACATATAATAACTCATGTTACATATGTATAGAACAAGTTGCTAAAACTTTCTCTTGCATGAATATAGAGCTTAATAGAATGCACCAAATCCTTCAATGTACATAAAACCCATGTTATTCTAAAAGCCCTAACAACTTCTCTTTCAAACCACCATATGAGAACATGCAAATTAGTTTGCTCACTTTTAGAATGGTAGTATATTGTTGTACTAAAGAAAGGTTATTGCCGCGTACAAGTCCCTTATAAGTTTTTTCCAACAAAACACAAAACTATAATTTTTTTATATATCATATAGTGCTAAAACTTTCATTTGCATGCAACTCTTCCAACTTATTCATTTATTCAAAATCAACAATTTCCAAATCAAGTTTGGAGGATAAAAGAGAATTATAGCAGCTTTGTACCCATTCAACAATTATTCAAGAACGCTTCCAACATAGCTACCAAACTTTCCATCTAAATTATGTAAAGTTGATATTGAAGAAAAAGGCATATGCATGAGAGCCTTACAAAACTAATCATGAAATGTGTATATGGAATCACATACAATACTCTTCAAAAATAACCATAAGAAATGGTAAAGATAGAATTTTATATCTTCCATACATTCCATACGAAACTCAATCTGTGACAACAAGTCATCATTCATGGGACAAAAAGAAGTTCATATAAATCCTTTCCTTTTAACAATATTTTTAAGATGCAATATTCTCTTTACATGCAACACGTCATATATCATGATCCTTTCACTTATGCTCAAGATAACATATATGCCTCCATTTGTAGCTTAAAATAAATCAAACATCAAGCAAAATTATCACAAGAAAATATGAAGGTATATACTACCTTTTATTGAATAGCATTTGATTATATTGGGATTATTATCTTAGAAATTTGAAACACATATTATGTATAGCTTTATGATTTTAAATATTTATCTTAATTATTGAAATATGTTTATTATCGTGAGGCAGAAAACATTATAGGAATGATTTAAACTTCAATTTTTATCGAAGTTATGGTAAAGAAATATATGTTGATTAAAGACAAAGTATTTACTTCATTGATTATTAAAATATAATACCTATTGTATTTAGAAATTCTAAAATTTCAGTGAGAGAAATGATTTACCTGTTCCCATTCCCAATTCAAATAAAAATATGCTACGGACAACCTTTGCATGTAAATAAGAGGCGGGTCCTACATATGGGCTTCACTTGTATAGACGGATGATCCGAGGTGTGCTCGGATTGGGAAAGTGGAGCAATTGCGGATTGGAGATCACAACGATCTCCTTCATTGAATCACACAAGCCGAATCTATCTCGCTCGAATCACAAGAACAACTATTGTCCATCTCTCTGTAGTCTGCTCGTCTAAGTCGCGCGCATGAACCGGGGAAAAGGAAGAGTTTCTAGAATCACCAGAGAGGATGAGAAGATAGTCTTTGCGAGCCAGATGGAAGAGTGAATCGGAGGGGAAGATGGGCCTCATTCGTGCGAATAGAGAGGGAGATGGGGTAGTTTTTTTCTTGCGAATAGAGAGAGCTTGCAATTTTTTGCGAATGAATAGGGAATAGGTGGATGGGATTTTGAACTGCCCTAACTGATCATGTGATAAATTACAACCTTAGCCTTCTAATATCTTGACTCATATTGAAGGTTTAATTTAATCATGATTTAAAGGGGAATTTAAGGGCTAATTTTAATTTGAAAGCTTAAGAATCATTTGAAGGTTGATTTGGAAAGAAATTGATAATTTTAAAAAATAATTTGTGTTCATTTTAAAATTAAAATAATATAAAATAGTTAATTTTATCTCATTTATGATGATTTAATTTTTATTGAGCTGAGGCAAATCAATTTGGGCAATTCAAACTTTTGTCTATTTAATTTAAATTAAAATGAGGTAAATCAACCTACTTCGATTGATGTAGATTTGAATTTGATTGATTTAAGATAAATTGAATTAGGTCAAATTAGGAGGCTGAGTCAATGCTATGTCAATGGGTATCCACTTAAGGGAAATCCTATAGGTGATGACTATGTTAGTTTATGAAGACCTAAGAGATAAAGAAAGATTCTAAGGAAATTAACCTCGAATAGTGAGGTCAATAGAAATAATGAAACAATTGAAGGAAAAAATCAATGGCATTTAATAAGAAAGCTAGACCCCAATCCCCCCCCCCCCCCCCCCCCACCACCACCCCAACCCCCCCCCCCCCCCCCCCCCCCCCCCCCCCCCGTCCCCCCCCCCCCCCGCCTTAACCCTTTTTAAGCATGTAAGTGTTTTTCCAAGATAAAAGATGTAATTTTCTTGATAAAGTGTCTCCATAATATAAAAACCTAACGGCAAGTTTATCAATTTGCTTATAACAACTCTTAGGTATGAATAATTGCACCTCGAATCTAATAAGCTATAGTGTCCATATAGTGTAAAAGAAAGAAGATCTAATCTACCTGCAAAAGAAAGAAGATTTGCTTTCCAGCCGAAAAGCTTGTTAGCAATAACATCTAAAAGTGGCGAGAAATCAGAAAGTAAGGCTTTCTTGATAGATATAGAAATCCCTAGATAAGTGACTTTGGTTTGTGTATGAGGGAATGTTGAGAGCAAACCATATTTCATTGGAGTGAGGGACATTAGGATGAATGATATGGGAGATTTTCTCCATATTGGCAATAAGGCGCAAAGAGTCAAAAAACTTGTTAAGCACATTTTTCAAGGCATTCTTTCTTTAATCATATTTATTCCCAAAATCCAACACATCATCAACATATAAGAGATGCAAAAGTCTAAAGTCTTTAATATTGATTTGCTTAAAAGCAACCTCATCCACTGAAGAGTAAAGAAGGCAGGAGAAAGCAACCATAATAAAACAAGATAGATAGGGGCACAAGAGGCAACCCTGTCTAAGACCAGTAAAGGAGGGAAAGAAACCTTCCAACACCCCAACCACACGAATGGAAAAGTGGACATTCATAATGCAAGACTTGACCCACCCAATAAAAGTAGGTGAAATCCCTTTTTGAGCCATTCATTCAAGAATAAATTCCGTAGACATATAATTAAAGGCTTTCTTCATGTCAAGCTATCCACACGTATAGTTGGATCTATTGCACTTCTTAAAAAATCTCAAAATTTCAGTAGCAAGAATCACATTATCCGTGGATATCCTCTTGTTAATAAAGCCAACTTGGGACAAATTTATAATGATATGTATAATGTGCTTAAGCCTAGAGGCCAGATTTTTTGCAATGATCTTGTAAAGGGTGTTACATAAAGAGATCGACCTAAAATCAGAGATAGATCCAACATGACTTCATTTAGGAATTAAGGCAATGATAGTAGCATTAACACTTCTAGTGATGTACCGTTCTTGAAAGAAAAATTGAACAACTTTGCAAAGATGGGGCACAATAATATGCCAACCAAACTTAAAGAATTGGAATTTAAATCCATCCGGCCTAGGCGAGGAATTAGAAGAACCATAAAAAATAGCCATTTTAATTTCAACAACAGTAATAGGTTCAGAGAGGATAGGAAAGAGACGAGAAGGAATAGTTGAGCCAACATGAAAGAAATAAAGGTCCGGCGTCGTGGAAGCATGCGGATTCTAGAGGTTATGGATGTTGAGTAATATTATCAATGGCACTAGGATAACTTCTATAGTTCCCATCTAAGGCCGTACTAATAGGGATGCCATTGAGATTCTTTCTCATTTGGATTTTGGAATACAGAAATATGAGGTCATCTTCATCATTATTAGGCTACTTAGCTTAACTCCATTAAATAATCCACGAGGACCAAGTGGAAGTGAACCCAACAATTTTAGAATTCAGATCTTTAAAGATGTAATTCAGATCAATATTATTTGGGTCGACATCCAACATAGAAAGGAGATATTTTTGACGATTGGAAAGATCTCTTAATGATTCCTCAATAGAAGAAGAAGACCAATGCTCCTTAATACGAGATTTAACTTTCATCGGCTTGGAGCAGAAATCCACCAAAGCATGGGCAAGACAAGACACCAAAAACACATTAAGCAGAATATCCCAGATCCCTCATTATTAGTCCAAAATTTTTTGAACTAAAATCAATGATATTTGGTGTGAGTGCAAAAATCTTTTAAGGACAATTGGAGAATGATCCAAAAGAGGTTCCCCCGCCGTATAGATCAAGTAGCATTTGGCCCAAATAAAAAAATGTACAACCGCTTTTTATATGCCTCTGCTCCGTTACTCTCACCGGACTCAGTAATTGCCATCTCTCTCTTCTCACCCGAATGGAGATGATCCGCGTCATCTACCTAGCGCTTCTCATCCTCTTAATTCTCTCTCTAAACACCATCTCGCCGGCCCAAGCGATTTCCTGCACAATGTGCGATTCCTGCGATAACCCCTGTCTGCCGCCTGTTTCCCCTCCTCCTCCTCCTCCGCCGCCGCCGCCTCCTGGCGGCTGCCCTCCTCCTCCCAGCTCTAGTACATTCTACACTCCTCCACTACTTGCCTCTGGCGGAAGCAGCGGCGGGAACTCATACTTCTACACGCCACCAGCGTCTGGTGGTGGCTCCGGAAATTCGTATACAACGCCTCCACCGCCTAATCCTATTTTGCCATACTTTCCGTTTTACTTCAACGGCCCGCCACCGCCAACAAACTCCCAGATCTCCTGCAGCTGCTGGACCAAGCCTCTACCCTCTGTTTGCCTTTTATTCGTGCTATGGATTGTCTTGTGAGGGAAACAAATGCTCAGAATTTGCCGAATTTTTTCTTTCCGTTCCCAAAGTAACTCTCGAATTCGGTTCAGTGTAAATCTCTGGCAGTCGCCATCCACCCATTTTAATTTCACGTTTGTGTTATTATTTTTGCTTTTTTTTTATTGTAATGGACAATAAAAGAATGAGAATTGTAGGGGAATTTTAAAGGAAAAGTTTTGGAATGTGATTTTATTTAAATGTTATATTTTTTACTAATTGAACTTTCGTGATCGGCGATGCATTAATTGCGGAGCTTGAATGTTAGCTGTTAAGGTCATAGACGTAGGCATCTGGCATTCCGTCAGGGAAAGCGGCATTAATTGTGAGCATCACCGTTAAACTCATGGATGGAAACATTTGATATTCTGGCGGATAAAGCGGTGCGTGATATTATCCGATCTTGACACTAAAGGAGTGGTGGCTAATGTGCCGATGAGCTGGCGATGGGTTCGGAACTTTGCCATGTGTATGATGTTCCTCTGGTGCAGCCTAAGGAGCGGAACTGTCGAAATCGTACGTGGTTCCCCCATGCGATAGTTAATGGTTTTTATTTTCTTAGTTGATTTCATTAAATATTCAGTTCTGTTCATTTATTGAACACTTCCGATACTAACAAGAATTATTTTGTTTTCATTCCCTGTGAATATTTATATCTTAGATTTCCCAATCATGATTATTTTTATACATATTTATTTAGATGTGCAAATATCTTGCTCATTAATTTTACACAAAAGTTAAACTATCTGCATACATGTATTTGATGTATTTTCATCAGTCACTAAAATAGTAAAATCTCTATTATAAAATTATGTTATGTATCTACTAATCTCATGTACTTATCAAGATGGTTGCTTGCGGGGCATGAATCACGCTTGTTTAGTCAATTAGGTACAAAGTAGAGGTTAGAGAACTAGCCCTTACAGTGATTATCATTGGAGATTTTTTTCTTATGAGAGCTTAACAATTGCCACTAAAAGCAGGGGATGATAGCACAGAGTCTGAGAATTTCTCGAAAAGAATTCGATAATTGTCACAATGGTAGTGATCTAACAATGAGGCAATTGATTTTTTTTCTCCATCTTTAATGATCAAAATCGTTGAAGAAGTCGTGCCTAAGTTTGAGGAGGACTTGAGAGGGAAAGAGAGAGAAAACTAAAGGGATTAAAATGAAGAAAATATTTGTACTATAATAGATATATATATCTTTATGTAAATGTAAATATAAATGAATCCCATCAAAACATAAACATTTTTTTTTTTAAATTAAGTTCTTACGTATCATTTTTTCTGTTTTTAAGATCATCATTACTCTAAGCATATGTATTTAGCAATAAATTTATCTACCTAAATTTAAGGCATCGCTTTCATGTTTTATCATTTGATATTCTATTTTCACCACTTAAATAACTTTACCATTTTATTATTATTATTTATTGAGTTAGTCGAACATATCATTTTATCTACTTTTCTATTTTTCTGATCATTATTGATATATCATCAAAAAATTATCTTGATCGGGCACAAATCTCAAGGTAGAATCAAGTTGGAAACTTCAAATATTAAATTCAAGACAATTTAAACTCTGATTTCAGCAAACTTACAGTCAAACAGAATGTCTCGTAAATATGAACCCAATGACAACAAATTCGACTCAATTCGAGCCCAATTGAGTCCATATCAAAGACCCAAAACACATTTGGAGGGTTAAAACTATAATTTTGATTTCCAAACAGTTTCCAAATATGGCGTCCTTATAGATGAATCAAGCGACTCGATGAGATGACTCCAACGAGCCCAATATCTCTGAATTTTGATATCTTTAAGACTTTCAACTGCTCAATAAATGATCCATGATCAAGGGATTCAACATGAACCGTCCATTCAAATCACATCCATTTTACCCCCGATCTTCCTCCTATTTAATGGTCATGCCACTCTCAGAAAATTATAAATATACCCCTAATTTCTCTTGAGAGGAGACCCCAAGCAAGAAGAGAAGATAAGAAATAAGAGAAGAGAAGGAAGAAGAGAAGGAAGAGAAGGAAGAGGCTCTTCCTTGACCACCGCCGAACTTTCACCCGGCAGCCAACCAATGCCGGAATTAAGCAAGGAAGCAAGAAGAGAAGAAAGAAAAGGAAGAGAAGGAAGTGACTCCTCCTCGACTACCACCAGACTTCCACCCGACAGCTAACTGACACCGGAATTTTGGCCTGACTGTCAATTGGTGCCGGAGTTCTGCCCGACAGTCGACACACGCCAAAATTCTTCTTGACTGTCAATTGAAGCTGGATTTTTTCCTAACCACGAGAATGTCACCAATTTTTTTATCCCCATTTGTAATTGAATTTCAACCTCTTAGCTGATTATTGTAATTTGATCGTCCTTAATTTCATGGATGAGTCAGCCTTTTATAACTAAGCAAACACTAGTAGAATCCTTTCAATTAGGCATGGCCCTATGAGTTTTCCCTTTTCCAGGTTTTCCACATAAAAATTATGATGTTCCTTTTTTATTTTGTTTCTGTGTTGGATATTCGTACAAGGCTAAGATAAAAAAATTCTAACTCTATCGCCGCGTATATTCTAGCCTGCAATATTTTGGCGCCGTATGTGGGAAACACTATCCTACAATTTTAAATGTTGATTCGATGGCAAACAAACATAGCAATTGTATCATAGGAGCCTCTCGCTCTAATACCCATCAATACAAGAATCAGTCTATAAATCATGGATGCCCAATATCTGCCTCATTTTATCCTAGAGGCAAAACATTGTTGGAGAAGGAACTTCATAGCCTTCCCTAGAGGAGCGTATCCAAAATAATGGAAGAATATCAAAATAAGATCCTTCAAGTCTTGCGAGAAACTCGGCACCCAGCGCTAGCACCACAGGAGAAGATTCTTCTCCCTTGAGATCCACCACTAGTTGAAGGTGTTAACTTTAGCATCTTTATGCACAGATTCCTCTTCCTCCATAAGGAAACATTCGTAATCACATCAAGATAATGAACTTACTGACACATCAAGTTCTACCCATTCTTTGCACAGAGGTCGACAACCTCGCATTCCTCAGGAGCTCCCCAAAGACATAGCCCGACCGCATGTTGATGAGCTCTCTCGCAATGCTCTACGTTATAAACTACAAAGATTTATTCGAGAGACGTTCCTCATGGGAGGTGTAAGACAACCTCTTCATCAATGGGACTTCTAGGAGTCATCACCCCTAACTGAAGTCATTCTTCAACACCTCATTCCGACGGGATTCAAACTATCGAGCATTAATTCCTACAACTGCACATCTAACCCGTTTGAGCATATCGATCACTATAAAGCCATCATGTATATCCAGCGAGCCTCAAATGCACTCATCTGCCAAGTTTTTCCTACTATCCTCAAAGGAAAAGCTCGAATGAGATTCTATTCACTTACAGTCAGAATGATCCATACATTTATCAAATTGGTCAAAGTTTTCGTTAAATAGTTTGTCGCCAATAAAAAAATTGCTAAGGATTCTTCTCTCCTCTCCGGGATTCGCCAAAATGAAGGAGAATCGCTATAGGAGTATTTTCAATGATTTTCCATCGGCACTTGACAAATTTTAGGAGTAGATCCTAAATTGTCAAGAATAGTCTTTCATGGAGGCCTCCGTCCTAGCCCCTTCTATTCAGGACTCATACGAGACACGGTTCATTCATACGCTGATCTGATCCATTGTATTGAGGCACAAATCTCTACAAATGAAGGCATAAATGCTCACAGAATGTAATTTAAGAAAATAAATGAAAAGCTCAAAAGTGCACTTGTGATGGATAATTCTTTTTCAGAATGAAAGAAAAAAAAGGAAAGAATAACCTGCCTCATAGGCATCTATTGAAACAACGGGAACCTCAGTAAGAGGAGTGTACACCACTCAATATATCTCGAGATAATATATTGATGACCAATCAAAATCAAAATACTATGAAATGGCTGAATCCTTTGAAGTCAGATGTAGGAAATAAGGATCAATACTATCATTTTCATTGTAGTCATGTTCACACTACCAAAACCTATAATCAGCTTGACACCGGATCGAAGGGGGCTCGACGAATCCACGTTGACGATCCGGTGGCGGTCGCCGGACACCACTCCAAGAACTCCTTCTTGGAGCAAGAACCACCACCTAAGAATAATCTTAGGATACATGAAAACATAAGAGAATAAACTCTAATTTTATTAATCTTCAATTACAAGAAATTGCTACAAGTATTTATAAACAATTAGGCCACATAAAAGACTACATGCCTTAAAAGAAAATACTACTCCTAAACAACCATATATCTACCAATTGGAATTAAAACTAGTCTGAAGTTAAATAGGATTGATCAGCTCAGCTCCGACATCATACGATCGGGGTAGGAGGAACTTCAGGCTCATAGGAAACTGTTCGGTTGGCCACCATAAGGAGGTGGGTTTGGTTGGCTAAACCGGTCTGGATATTTCCACCCGGTGTTAGATTTTTATGTTGTGGAGTCCATTTTTATCCTCTGTTGCTCTAAACATAGACCAATGCTTATCATTCTTGAAAATGACAAGTATGCGCTAACCAATGGAAGTTTATGATTTAACTTGCTTGCAGGGTATAAGATCCCAAGGGCATCAACAACCAAGTTTGAATGCTTCTGATCTACTTTGCCCATAGCAAGTAGAGCATGAGGTGCACTGCCCGGAATAGAATTAAAATATGCACACACCAACATTGGGATGTCAGCACTAACTGCTATCTTTTACAATCCTTTTAAGAGGGTGTGAACCTGCCAAAGCTTAACATCTGTGAGTTCTTGGGAAACATTTACATTAGTATTAGCCACACAAAGAAGTTGTCTGCTCCCAAGACAATCAGCAACATGGTTGCAAAATTTTCTTCAAGTACTGCTATCAAAGCAATATTATCTTTGATTAATCGACTCAAAGCAACTTTCTTTTGATTAGTAGGGATAACAGCATCAGCTAGAGAATATGTAGCTTTATTAAATTCAACCTCATATTTCTTGGCATGAGAAAGCCTATCTCTTCGA